ATATGTCAACATTTCAAGATGTTCAATGTTTCGGTTGTTTTAACGGGATACAAAAGAATCTGTCATTTCATTTTACTTGAGTGGGAGGTGGGAAAGTGTGAACCAGATGTGATAAAGAGACAAGAGAGAATATCTCGATGTCTTGTTGATGATGCTTCAGCCTTGGAGAGAAGAATCAGTCGTCGCTGGCCAGGCTAATTACTGGTTTGAACAACCCATTCATCGTTAATGCTCTCTCCATCAAACTCACTGTTACTCACATGCTCAGCTCGACCATCTTTGGTCAGTATACTATTGACCTTAATGTTAGGACTTTTTTCTAGCGGCAGTTCAAACTGCTACCTCTCATGTGAGGCGGAATACCATTTATTGTGTGGGAAGTGGGATTTCATTTTATCATGTGTCTTCTGTACGATTGTTTGTGTACGTCTGTTTGAGTCATTATATGCGGGCGTCCTTTCACGTGTGGGGGTGCGCGTGTGTGTATCCGTGTGCGTGTCTGTTTCTGTGTGTAACATACCGTGCTAAAATTGAAAGCCTCGTCACAATCACACAGAAACACCTATAACACGCAAGCCAATCCTGCAATTCCTGCCTTAGAATGTATCAGTGAGTATGTGTCTTGCGTCGAGTCTTTTTGTTCCGATGGCAATGACATCGAGCGTTTAAAGCAAGTTTACATTGTTGTAGATTTAATCCAGTAAGTCCTGCTCGTGTACCGCTTTGTCTGCAAGGTTAGTTATTTGTTTAGTTGAGATAGTTTCACAAATAAGACTTGACCTGTTGAATGATCCAGGGGAGTGATAATTCTTATGAGTTCCATTAGCGTGCACTTTGAACATAAGGATATACCAAAATGATTCTCAGGAATATTCAGATCACTAATACATGTTCACGAAATATTTAGTGATGACTTTTCTGTAAATTTGCTGAGTTGCTACACAATTGTTTTGTACGTGGATGCCATGCCTCACTTCTTGCTTTCCGTCAAATGTTAATCCAAACCATACTTACGGACAAGAAAGCTCTTTTGAAAGGGTCGGATACATTAAAAACCTCAGCTGAATATATTTCTGTGTTAAACAGCTCTCAGTTGGTAAATGGCCACAATAGGATAGGCGATAAGATATTTCATTGTCCCAATTCCATAACAATAGAGTTTATGAAAGAATCTAGGTCGCCTTTATCCCACCAAACAAAGTAAGACAACCGATGTGGAGGGAGATAACCCTTTATCGGGGATGTCAACCAATCGTAATGAAGCACGTACACAATAGCTCCATCTGAGCAATGAAAATGTACCGATTCCTACGCTGGTAAACTTATGGGTGGCAATATTTCATCTTGATGATAAAATCGACAGATGAATGTCACTTTCTGAGTGTCTGTCAGGTTATAAAGGAAGCGAGCTGAGTGTTGGGGGATTGTGCACAAATATTGAGCAGGGGTCGATCATGGCTCTCCGTTGGATGAGAAAGGCTGTCGGTAGTGCGTCAGAAGAACGAGAAATATAATGGAATAGAGAATAACGTTACTCTGAGGGCAGCTCTATATGATTTGATGTTATATTCAACAGATGAATTTTTAATTTTTGTTATAAGCGCAGCTGGCTGAATTTTCGTTTTCGATTTTTGTTTGTAGATTTGCCATGACTGCCAATGAATATTTGATACAGGGAAGACAGTGCTACCATAATCAATGACAAAACTGAAACGCGGATCATTATACAACATGTAATTTGGATTATGTCGACACTGAAATATTGTTTCATTCTCAGGCGTGTGCTATTAAATCATGAAGTCTTTTGAAGGTTATTGCACTCTTTTGCAATGTGTATCACGCACCAACACACATAAAGAAAAAGGATTTCTAGCATCATTGATAGAAATTAACCAACTGTGCACACAGAAAAAAACCCCACCAGGCTGGAGGTAATTCAATTTGTCATTTTTTTCTTAACGTGTAATACCTATTCTTGCTTTAAGTCCTTAAACATGTCAACTTGGATATTCTAATTCGTCCAACTTCAAGAAGATAGAACGGAATAGAAACAAGGAACACATACAATTCACTGATACTGTTTCAGATAAGAATTACTGGAAGACTTTCCGCGTCACGAGGTTTACTGATTGATAGTGACAAGGCATTCATTTTTATCTGTTTAACCTTTCCAATAATATCATGTGTAGATTTAGATTGTCAAAAGTCACCGTGACCGCCTCGGTAATCAAATATATTATTCCTCTCGTGCTCGAGATTGTTTAATCTTACTTACATTACGGTTGACAATCAATCAGACGTTACGGCACAGTATACGGATATATTACATCGTAAAGAATCCTTCCTCTCCCAGTCTATATCTCCATTCCCCGTCTCTGTTTGAGGACATGAGCGGGTTTAGTTGAAGTGTTTTAGTGATATATAGATAAAAACTGGATCCACAGACATCTCTCCACGGATGTGATTTGTCATGAAGACAGATTAACTGTCCCATTTTGTTTTATCCCATTCTTTATTAACTATTGTGGCTGTACGTGGCTGAAGGGATAAGGTCATCATCCTGGACTCTTTGGCCACTCCCTGATATGGAGAGATGATCAGGATGAAAAATGAAGGTGAAGATGATGGTATATATGGCCGACTGAACTGAGGTTTGTCCAGTTTTAGAAGAACAGCGGTTTCCATTCAGGCATCAAGCAGGCCCCATTCAAGGCGCTGTTTGGTATTGATGCCAAAGTTGGTCTTGGAGCAGTATCTCATCCAAATGAGATCCTTGAGAGACTTGTGACTGAAGATGACCTTCAAGCGGCTTATCAGTCATGTCCAGTTTCAGCCCCAGGCCCAGCCGACAGACAAGCAGTCAACGTCACCCAATATTTTTTCTTATATTTTGAAATATTGTTATATGTCAAAGGATGTCCCTTGAGTGTCTGTGTCTTAGGTCTTAAGTTTTTATACACTAATGCTGATAATATACATTGAAACATACCATCTAAATCCTTTTAACACAATTTCCCCTCTTTCTAGACGATGGATAGCCAGAGGATGATAAAAAGTTCTGGAGGTCCGGTTCAACTCGCGATTGGCTTGATATAATGTGTACATTACTAACATATTGCAAAATGCAGCGAAAGGTCACACTGACTGACACACTATCGTGATGCAGTGGTACACATGTCTTGATCTCCACTGACATGGTAGTGTTCTATGAAGAGATGTGACCTTGACCGTTGTCTCGTCTTATATGTGCTGACGTCCGCGCAACGTCCCCGCTCTACCTGACGGTCCCAGTCGTCCTACTTACTATGGCGATATTCGTCATTCGAATGAAAGTACGACAAAGGTTAACGACTCTTTTAATAAGATCTTCGTCTTGAGATACACCAAGGGGGGCGGTGGGGTAGCCTAATGGTTAAGGCGTTGGCTCGTCACGCCGAAGACCCGGGTTCGAATCCCCACATGGGCACAATGTGTGAAGCCAATTTCTGGTGTCCCCCGTCGTGATGTTGCTGGAATATTGCTAAAAGCGGCGTAAAACCAAACTCAGTCAGTCAGTCAGATATACCAAGGCCACCTGTGGATACAAAATACACCTATTATGTGATGTTACTACAGCACTGATACCGGTTGGACCAACCGAACCATTGTCCGAATATCGAGTTTTAACAGAAACAAAACATTCTTTATTTGCCTGTGATAATCAATCTGAACCAACACAAGGTAATTTATCATAATATGAACCTACGTAAACAAGTTTAGTTATTATCATACGAACCTAAAATGTCTTCGGATTATAATATTGTTATAGTACGCCATATGTGTTAAAGGAAAGACGCACACACATTCACTGTGTACAAGTCAGATTCAGTTGTTAGTCAATGAATGTGTATTCGTGGGACATAGAGGTGTGCAGGTGTCTGTCGAAATGGGCATAACCTGAAAGTACGCATATAGAGTCAACATAAATTTCCATAGTGACACGAAAAGCCACAAATTGGAAGAATAGTAAAGGTGACGGATTATTTGCAGCTGGACTGAACTGATCAATAGGAAGAATTAGGAAATTACTTTATTATTTCAAACATCCAATGAGTACCTTGTCTCTTTTACAACAAAGCAATTGCTCAAACTCACGATTGTCAATTAAACTATTTACGAGCACCTACAGTTTCCCCAGCCATAAATCCTCAGGTTTGTTTAGACATGCAACATGATTACAACGGACGGTTGACGGATTGTTATGCTTGTAATCTTCGTACAACAATTAAAAACGCTTCTTCTGTCTTCCTGTTTTAATTATAACATAAATCTCGCGAATAGCTCTAAGAATCATACAGTTTTGTGATGCTGCTAATTCATCTATACTTGGGGATACTTTCAGGTTACTTTTTTTTATTTTAAAAAAATCTTTTTATTTGTTCCCATAATTGAGTACAAGCATATAAAGTAAAGCAATAAATGCATAAATACATGATCAAAGTTCATTGGGTTCAACAAAAATGTTAGGTCAACTGATAGCATAGAGAGAATATAGTCCAGTAAAGTTATTCCCCTTTGATTAAAGATTAAGTCAGAAGTTAAATATTGAGAATAAAGGAAACCATTTGTCTGAAAATGTATCAAATTTATTGTTCCTTCTGGATATGAAATTTTCATCCGTATAAATGTCTTTCAAAATTATTATTTTTTTATTAACTTTTGGAATTATTTTCTTCAAAGTGCAAGTATATATATATTTTTTAGCAGATAAGATTATATGAGTTAGTAATGGCTTATTACCCAAAATTCCAAACCAAACCAAGGTCTTTGTTATTTCAAATTTCTGTATATTTTGGATTATCCAGTTTTCAAGTTCCTTCCAGAAGGTTTGGGTTACAACACATTCCCAATATACATGACATAAAGTTTCACCATCAACATTACAAAGGCTACATACTGCATTGTCAACCAGTTTCATTTTCATAAGTTCTTTTTGTATAAATAATTCTGTGCAAAATTTAAATTGAAAGTCTAAAAGTTTTACATCTTTCACATTCCTTCTGCAAATATTAAAAATCATACGCCAATCGAAATCAATATCGTAAAATAAGTTTTCCCATTTTAGGCAAATATGAGGTTTAATATTGTCAGATAAGAGTTTATCATAAAATAATCTTGAACCTTTTTTTCAAATCCATAAAATCTTTATGAAGAAAGTTATCATCCAGATCATTGTTATGTATATTTCTGTATTGTTTTATGGTAAATTTCAATGATTCAGGTATGATATAGAAAACATATCGAAGATCCATATATGTACCTCTAATATCAAATTTGAGCTTCAGATCTTCAAGAGACATAAAACCATCTTCATTACAATGGTCCTTAATTGTTAAAATTCCATTTTTAGCCCAATGCCTGATAAAGTGATTTGGGTTTTTGAAATTATTATTCAGTCATAAAGGTTGTGCTAAAATTCCTTTAATGTTGTCTGCCTCTATGGTACTCTTATTACAGTATAATTTCCATGCCAATAAAACATTTTTTCAAAAAGGATTATCAATTTCAACAATATTCTGAAAATTTGGTCCATATTTCAGGTTACTTGCTTCAATATTGCAGGGGAAATATCTTTCAGTCACAGTTTGACTATATCACTGAAACCTCACACCCCTACAAGAAACATCAAATGGTGGTTCCCTTAACTTTTTGTGTGTTGCAGGCAAACAGAAATATTTAATCTTGTGTGTTTGTAAGTGTGACTTATTACCAAATGTATGTTTGCATGTTCACAGTTTATCCTCTTCAGACTGTGTGTCCTGATAGTTTTCTTCTAGTTATGAAACCTTCTGTATAATAGAGTTATAAATTAGTTACAGGTTTACTGTTATGATATAAAAATATGTTAAAACAATATTATCCAGAGAGCAAGATCATTAAACAAAACGGTTTCATTTTTTGTTTTATTAAAACATCGTGATACTTTACATTGTGCCTGGTTAAAGACTGTTTTGAAACGTAAAATTCGATATTATCTTTGTAGATTGAATTTGCAAAAAGGGAGATGGAATGAAAATAAATAAATATTGATCGAAATCCATTCCATTAATAGTTAACCTCCTGTGAATGAAATGAAATAACACTTGTGAATTATTCGAAGGATATTTGTGTAAGTCCTTGTTGGTTTCTTCAATGGGGCAAACCTCTGCTCATTGGCAGCACGACGGCCTCCACACTCATAACATCCGAAACGTTAGCGACAATCAGTGTCAAATTGAACAAAGTTTTGCCAGAAAAGTTTATAATTGTAAAAGCTAAAATATGAAACATTATGTTCACGAAGGTCCAAGTACACATTGTGAATTGGCTATTTGTCCACATAGATGCATCATGCATATCCAGGTTTTGGGCTGGACTGAAAACATGGTTGCCCTGATGGTGTGATTATGTTTGATGGGGCTGTCCAAAGAAGCATGGCATGTCATCCGGTTTGATCACAGTTTACCGCTTTGATACCTGAAGCATTACGATCTATGATAGTCTCTCAAATGATTTATGTCGGGGCAGAAACAATGTTATCTTTGATAAATCTTTCCTGCACCCAACTTGAAAGTGGCTGATTTGTGTCTGTTTAATGTGATGCGTTAATAGATTACACATGGGATTTGTAATGTGACCTTCACGTATGTCTAAAATGAACCCTGAAAAATCTTTCATTTTCTAAACCCTTGGAAATGTGCGTCCACTATGTGATGTATGATCACGCCTGAATTGCTCTTGCCATATATCACTTAACTTATTACATATCACTCCTGTTATATATGACACTGGTTTAATATAACCAACAATGACAAATAACACTTGTCATATGTCACATATAACGCTAATTGCAAATGGGCTAGTTACCTTTTTGTGAAGACGTGGTATGATCATTGTTTCAAATCTATTTTATAAACACTTACTTATGATTCATAATAAGTACAGTCGACTTATTAATTTTTTTTCATTGCCTGTACTCAGATTAAAGAACCTTTTTCTTCTTCATAGAACATCTCTATGAAAGTACGTTCAAGGACCAAGCTTCAATGAATTAATCCCGGGTGGATCGTCAGAATTTGACATACCGCACACACCACAGCCTTCTCTCAGAAATAATTGTAGATGGTAATTGGGCGTGTATTCTCATCAATATAAAGAACATGACATCACTGGGCAAAATATTTATGATTGAAGACGTGTTCTGTTTGGAAGATGCAATTTGTAAGTCAGAAACACGGACTCATGATTGATTTATTTATGTTACAGGTTGACCTCTTGAATGAGATGTGATCCATGCGCGAGGTTGAAGTCATCTTAACTAATTACCATGTAACTTTTGAAGATTCACCTGAGCGGTAAAACAAATATATTCCTGCTTAAATACATGCTTCCCATTAGTTCCTATGAAGAAGTTAGTGTGTTAGTGTGTGAATGTTGACTGTCACAATGGAAACAACCGTTCAGGATTGTATAAACTGAAGTCTGAAACAACAAGCAATATACAACTATTTGGGACATCGAGGCTCGATAGCAACTATGTGGGACATAGAGGCACGATAGCAACTATCTGGGACATCGAGGCTCGATAGCAACTATGTGGGACATAGAGGCACGATAGCAACTGTCTGGGTCATCGAGGCACGATAGCAACTATCTGGGACATCGAGGCTCGATAGCAACTGTCTGGGACATCGAGGCTCGATAGCAACTATCTGGGACATCGAGGCTCGATAGCAACTATCTGTGACATCGAGGCTCGATAGCAACTGTCTGGGACATCGAGGCACGATAGCAACTATCTGGGACATCGAGGCTCGATGGCAACTGTCTGGGACATCGAGGCTCGATGGCAACTATCTGGGACATCGAGGCTCGATAGCAACTGTCTGGGACATCGAGGCACGATAGCAACTGTCTGGGACATCCAGGCACGAAGGCAACTATTTGGGACATCGAGGCACGATAACAACTATCTGGGACAGAGGCACAATAACAAACTATCTGTGACATCGAGGCTCGATAGCAACTGTCTGGGACATCGAGGCACGATAGCAACTGTCTGGGACATCGAGGCACGATAGCAACTATCTGGGACATCGAGGCACGATAGCAACTATCTGGGACATCCAGGCTCGATAGCATCTGTCTGGGACATCCAAGCACGATAGCAACTATCCGGGACAGCGAGGCTCGATAGCAACTGTCTGGGACATCGAGGCTCGATGGCAACTATCTGGGACATCGAGGCTCGATAGCAACTGTCTGGGACATCGAGGCACGATAGCAACTATCTGGGACATCGAGGCTCGATAGCAACCGTCTGGGACATCGAGGCTCGATAGCAACTGTCTGGGACATCGAGGCTCGATAGCAACTATGTGGGACATCGAGGCACGATAGCAACTGTCTGGGACATCCAGGCACGAAGGCAACTATTTGGGACATCGAGGCACGATAACAACTATCTGGGACAGAGGCACAATAACAAACTATCTGTGACATCGAGGCTCGATAGCAACTGTCTGGGACATCGAGGCACGATAGCAACTGTCTGGGACATCGAGGCACGATAGCAACTGTCTGGGACATCCAGGCACGAAGGCAACTATTTGGGACATCGAGGCACGATAACAACCATCTGGGACAGAGGCACAATAACAAACTATCTGTGACATCGAGGCTCGATAGCAACTGTCTGGGACATCGAGGCACGATAGCAACTGTCTGGGACATCGAGGCACGATAGCAACTATCTGGGACATCGAGGCACGATAGCAACTATCTGGGACATCCAGGCACGATGAGACACGATGAGTCTCACAACCCGATCAATTTTAGTTGACTAAAGTACGATAAACACAGGTAATTGGAAACCAGTTGTATCAGGACATGCTCACGATGGTCTCAACAGAATTCCTCCATTGCCCTTTGTGCTGATGACCGAGCATTGAACGTCGCCAATCTCATCAACGAGAAGATTCGCGGATGATTACAAAGTCTAAATTCTGAAATTAAATTATATTTCTGAAAGCACTCCATCAGCATGATGGATTTTCGTGAATGCAGCCCTTTCGTTGGTCAAAGCAGGTACCCAACATCTGAATTAACAAACTTGGTAAAATAGCAATATGCGTTGACTGTCTGTATTGGTTTACTTTAGTATGAATATAATGTTTCATGCTTAGGCTATTTGGTGATTGCATGTGGTAGCTATGGAACCAAAACGAAAAATTCTTGACCTCCAGATGATGTGTCAGTCTAATGTGTTTTTGTTGATTTCCAATATGTTATAATTCGTTTAGATTTTCTGTTACATTCAAATTTCAGTGATCGTTCCACGGTATTTGTTTGTTCTAATTTAGATCGGTTCAGTTTCAATCTCAACTAAAGGGTGGGGTGGGTGGGGGTGGGGTGCATCTTGGGACATGTGTGTCTCTGTGATCAACTAAACGGCAACAATCGGCAACGGCAATGAAATAGTGTTTCAATGGGCGTTCATTCAAAAGCACACGCACAGTGAAAGAATTTAATGTAGCTTGTTGGTTTAGTTTTGATTGACTGACTCCTAACAAATATACGTTTTATGAAATTGCCCCAAACAAATCTGACAAATTGCTACATAACATATCTTGATTATCTTTATTGCAATGTTGTCACTCCTTTCTTCTTACGCAGACAACTGGAAACTCGTGAATGAATGAGGCCCTGTAAGTCTCCCAAAGCGCTACTTCCGGTACTATGCTGTTTTCCGGCTCCCTTTGCGCTCGCCAACTTCCGATATGCGAGATGGGGCCCAGCTTACTACCGGTACCAGATTTCCGGTGACAAGCGTATATTTAAGAACCAGTTCTGCTTCCAAACTGCGCGACCGCCAAATATGACTTTACTAGCCCAAACCAAGTGTGCAACCATACTTGGATGTCACAGCTGTTGACAGTCGTAATAGTTGGCTAATCTGGGGATTGTCTGATCGGACATTTGTTATTCCTGCAATGATTATCGGTTCTTTGCTGTCAACTGACAAAAATGAGACCCTTTGAAAAGGTCACGGGATGTACTAAACAACGTAAGGTCTCGTGAAGTGCCGTGACCTACTTACGGGACCCATAGCATGCGCGTGAGTGTGGGCGAGTCGAGAGTAGGTGGGTGAGTTACAGTTGCATCTGTATGTGATGCCGACCTTCACCACTTTGTTGAACTTTTCAAAGAAATGTGTGGTGCTGACAAATATAGACACACAATAAATGTTAACTTGGGTTGGTAACCATAGATTTTAGGCATCAATCTATCAAACGTGTGTCTCGTAAGGACTTCGAACTCCAATAACATCAAATGACCAATCCCATTGCTAAACAACCAAAACATTGAACATCTTGAAAGGTTTACAAAATGTTATCCTGGTAGACAAAGCCCAAACAGGTTACTGAGTACGGTTGGTGAATGAATGTATATTTGACGTATAGAGATATGTGTAAAATCATGAAAATACGTGTACAATGTGAGGATACATTTCAAACTGGAAGAATAGTTAAGGTGACGGATTATTTGACACATTGGTGTAATGATTGATGGATAGTATCAGGAAAATGATTTACTCTTCCCCATACATCTTTGTATGCTGTTTTATATTTTTTTTATACAAGAAACATTTCAAAGATCAGGAATCCAGTCATGTTATGAAGGTAATGCATAAGCATACTGGGTACGTATATGTTTTAACAGATTAATTCATTTATACTATATATAATTCGCAATATTATTAAAATACTTACATATATATATACATATGCACATACATACATATACACACATATACATATATATATATATATATATGAGTTAATAGCTGACAGCACTGTGATTATAAAATTATTATTATATCTGTTATTTTGTCTTGCTATGCCTTGTTCAATTTTACAAATGTCCATTATTGTTGAGACAAATCTGTCAAAAGATAGGGGGAGCTGTTGAAGACCTGATATGTAGATAAATCTTTTGGCTATGAGTAAGATATGATTAACTATGTGAGTGTATTTTGTTACTTTCAGATTACTTTCGAAATAGTTATTGATGAAATTCTCTACCTTCTGCCAGAAGCTGAAAACAGTCTGACATTCACAGAAGACATGTACAATATTATTAGAGTCAGTTTTACAAAAAGAGCATAGATCATCATCGACTAACCTCATTTTCAGTAACTCTTTTTGTGTGTATATTACTCTGTGAATGAATCTATACTGAAAGTGTAATAGGTTACAATCAGTTGGCCTCTTTCCAGTTGATATCCTGATCAAAAACAGAGTTCCAATGTTCTAATACCTTGGGAATATTATCATTCTTAATTAATTTACCATAAACTATCCTTGCGTTTGTATCATTTGAGATCATATCAAGATTAATACTGTTGATATTCAGCTGACATAAATGGTGTGTACATCTGTGTATGCTTGACTAAAAGATATCTTCTATCAATACAACGGCTCTTAAGTAACGATAAAATTGCCGAAACTCCCGATCGTCATTCAAACCAATTTACTAGAACATGCAGTTTCCCCAGGCATTCCCCTGTTTTGCTCTGACAGGCAATAAGATTAAACCGATTGCTGGAAGGACGTTTTTGTCTGTTATTGTCATGGTTTCTATCTGCAGCCAACAGTCGAAAACGGAATTCTTTCTTCCTATTTCATCACAGCAAATATCTCGTGAACAGCTCTGAGAATCATATCGTTATAAAAGTCATTTTGTGAAGTTGCTAATCCTTCTGTATTTAGTGCATTCCAATCAGAGAGTCCGTCAGGCCATGCTGGGACCAACCATTCCAAACTGAGGGGAATATTTTCCGTATTTTCCTGATGGCATCATGGCCTATTAACTCATATTATAACGAAAGAACAGAAACATTCAAAGAAAAAAAGAAATAGTTGTTTTGTGAAAGTGAAAGTGATACTTTACATTATGCACTGTTAAAGATTGTTTTGAAACAAAACAATCTGACATCGTCTTTGAAGACGAAACTTGAAAAGATGTGAGACTGAATGAAAATAAATATTGATTGAAATCTGTTAAATTAATGTTTGACCTTCTGTAAATGAAATAAAATATCGCTTGTGAATGATTTGATTGGTGTTTGTGGAAGCCTAGATTTGCTTCTTCAAGCAGGTGCTCAATAGCAGATCAACAGCCTTCGGGTGAATCGCATCATAAATGTTTGTATCAGTTTTAGAAAAAAACGTGGAGGACATTGTGCGAAGAAAAGGTTTATGATGGTTAGAGGTAAAATATCACACATTCTGTACATGTAGGTCAAATACACAAGGTGAGATTGGCTATTTTATAAAACTTAACTGTACCATGTGTGTCCAGGTTTTGAGCTGGGCTTAAAACATTGCTGCCCCTGTGGATGTGTGCCAGTATGAGTGTGTTCCACGAAGCATGGCATATCATCTAATTTGATCTCATCTTACCGCTTTGATATGTGGGGAAAAAATTCCATCAACATCTCTTAAAATGATTTACGTTGATGAAGAAACATTGCTATCTTTGATAAATCCTCTCAGCATCTGACTTCAAAGTGTTTATTCTGTGTCTGTTTTATGTGATGCTTTTAAGAATTGCATTTGGGGTTTATAGAGCAACCGTAGTTATAGCTTTTGTTAAATAACTTTACAAAACGTATTAAACTCTGCCATATATTTGTATTTTATATAAACATTCTCTGTGTAATGTATAATCATGCCCTTCTCGCTTTCTAACACATCACGTCAGAATCATGTCAGTTAGAAATCAGGCTGATTAAGTATCTTCATCTGTTTACATATATGACGGCAGTGAAGTGAGGTGTATGATAGCATCATATCGCGTCTGTTTATAACTCGATCTGCATCACAACATGCACACGTCAGCCTGTTACAGATCTCGTTATACACCACACGTGGTGCATATAGCTCTAGTTTCATACATCACCAAATGTACAGATAATGATGGTTATACAGCACTACAGTGTATATTACATAAAAAGCTAATTACATATGGGCCATTTACATATGTTACATAAGTTACGGAGTAACATATGCTGTATTTGGGATTACACTTTGTTAGTAAAGTACAGATTCTAGTACTTTTTGGGTTGAGTCTCATCCGGGATGCGAACCCAAACCCCCAGAGTTACGGAGTGACAAACAAAACTAAAACTGCAAGACTAGATAAGTGGGATTACATTTCCAGAGTCAGCTTGTACTTTATGAGGAGGGAAAAAAATTCCAACAGTTCCAGCAGTTCGTCCTTTCTCTTTGTCTCAAAGCTCACCATACCACCTTGTTTGATCAAGGCCAAGCCGTTCCTGTTCTCATTAAAGTTCTATAACTGGCTTGCCTTTGTACCTTTGATGTGTTTGTGAAGGGAACCACAGGTTGTGAAAAAGGGCCCACCTTTTGCGAACACCAGCTATGATCACTAATTAACGGTGATTGCAGAAACACTTTCTTTATATGATAAAGTCGGAATTGTACAAATGACTTATCATTAAATGTTTTAGATTAGATGGTCACTTTTACTTATATTTATTGTTAAAGGTCACATGCAACGCAAAACACAACTTTGCAGATTCTGATACCTTTAGGTATGGACTTACAGTAACAATTATCAAAAATGCAAATTCAACTTATAAAGTTGAAAAATAACGCGATGACAAAAACTCCGCGAAATCGTTCAAACGATTCACTAAATTCACCCCAGCTGAGGTGAAAAATGGTTTCAACAGCTGTGCTGCGCTTCGCTCATAGCGCATGCGCAGTGAAATAGGTTCGCGCAGCTTGGAGCGGGATGCCCGAATAATAAGGTCGTGGGCAGGAGTTGTCTAATCTTGGTTGTGTACACAAACAATAAATAGTAAATAATCTATTTGTTACACAAAAGAACCTTGTTAAGGATCTAGATCTACTCAGCTATGTGTCAACCAGTGAGGCGTTCGACATTTCAAGACGGAAAACCTTCGCTGGCGGTGAGTACTCGGAGTAGGCTTTGATGTGAGCCTATTTTTCTAATGTTTTCTTTGATATTTCACAGGCACAAGCTTTTATATGTTATGACAGTATATTACTGATTTAACTGTTTGCATAATTTCATTTGACTATTTCAGCACACGTTCTTCTTACCGAGTCACCTTCTCAGTTCCATACTTAACAGCAATGTCATTATATAGCATTGTCAGAAATTCTAACTGTGATATAGATATGCCTCTGTCACAGACAAAACTTAATATCTGTTTTATTGACACCTATGTGTCTGCCTGCCTGTCTGCTAATGACAATAAGCAATACACAACTTCGATCACTGACCACATGCAATTTGAAATTAACACCTATCAGGCTATATACCATAAACAAAACGCATTGATTTATGGCTCGTGCACCCGAGTTCTGTCTCTGTCACTTTTATGTAATTACACGGACAGGCAGGTGTGATACTTGTACACATGACATATTATGATGTCTGTTGATTGCAAAATGTTATACACAAAAATGAGGATGTTATTAAAAACCAACATCTCTATACACACAAAGACGCTCTGACAGGGTTCGGTATCCCGGGTGCTTGTTTCGAGGGAAGTAAACCCAAGTACAAAATATTGCACTTTGGATTTGCGATTGTACACTTATAATTTTGTTTATTTGTTTTTTTTCATAATCAGCAATGTATATTATATGTCATGAATAAATGATAATTGTGATTTAATTATGTTTCATTTTTTGGGTGCATCTAAGCTTTAATATGGCTTCTCATTTCTAATAGAACATCTGCATTTTGAAAGACAAAGCTTCGATAACTGAATCTCTGATTATTGACGTCAAAATGTATCACAGCGAAGAGAAACAAAACTCACATCACAACTGCCTTGCTAAATATTGTAGCTTTGAGCGTGTATTCTCATTTATGCAGAGAAGATGATATAATTGGAGAAATATAATATGACCGAAAACGTGGTTTGTTGAACGACACATTTTCATATAATTTTAAATAGCCACCATTTGACATTTTGAAAATTCTTTTTAAACGTAAAACCATGAACCCAAAAAATGTTCAATCAACATTTATCATGGCGGATTGTATACAATAAAGTCTCCTGTGAGGCGGAATACCAGTTATTGTGTGGGACGTGGGATTTCATTTGATCATGTGTCTTCTGTGTGTTTGTTTGTGTGCAGCTGTTTCAGTGAATATGTGCTTGTATTTGTTTCTGTGTGTAATATGCTGTGCTAAAATTGAAAACCTCGTCCCAGTCATACAGAAACACTCATGGCATGAAAGCCAATCCTGCAATTCCTGCCTTACATTGTATCAGTGGGTATGTGTTTCGCTTCGAGTCTTTTCGTTCCGATGTTCTTAAAATGGACCTTCAAAGCAAGTTTACATTGTTATATATTTAATCCAGTAACAGGTATTACATGTTCAGGAGGAACTAAGTCCCGCCCGTGTACCTATTTGTCGAAAAGGTTTGCTGATTTGTCCAATTGAGATTGAGAAATTTTCCAAATAAGACTTGACATGTTCCAGGGAAGTGAAAATACTTATGAGTTCCACCATTGTGTACTTTGAACATAAGCATATACCAATGATTCTCAGGAATATTCAGATCACTTATACAGATTTATGAAATATTTATTGATGTCTTTCCTGTATAACTGATGGGTTTGCTGAGGCCTTACCTCACTTCTGGCTTTGCGTCCAATGATAATCCTAGCCATACTTACGTAAACGAACAGGAAGGGTATTTCGAAAGGGTCGGATACATTAAAAAAAGCCCAAATGAATATATCTTATATTGAACACCTCTCAGTCGGTGAATGGCCACAATCAGTGACCGCATTAGCGATAAGATATTTCATTGTCCCAATTCCATTACATAAGTGTTCAAGGCTCCAGATAAGGGCCGTATCGGCGTATGTACGGATACAAAATATGCACGATACGGTAGGAAATAATTTAGGAAACGTTGCAGATACGCACCACAGCAATAGTGTACGTTCTTAGAATCATCTACAGATGTATTCATCTGAAAAAGTATTGTTTTATTTACCTGTTTACAGCATAGTAGCAATGTTGTTGTGCATATATGAAACGAAACACAAGATTACTGATACTCCATTAAATTTTAAGTTTTTCCACTACTCCTATATTGAAAAAATAAGGAGTACGTACTCCTGATGTTGAAAAATTATCTGGTGCCCTGAGTGTTAATAAAATTTTGAGGTCGTCGTTATCCCACGAAACAAAAGAAGATAACCGATGTGAAGGGAGATAACCCATTAACAGGGATGCCAACCAGTCGTAATATAGCACGTGCAATATAGTTCCATCTGAGCATTGAAAATGTACAGATTCCTCCTCTGGTAAACTTATGGGTGACAATATTTCATTTTGGTGATAAAATCGACAGATGAATGTCACTTTCTGAGTGTGTGTCAGGTTATAAAGAAAGCGAGCTGAGTGTTGGGGGATTGTGCACATATATTGAGCAGGAGTCGATCGTGGCTCTCCGCGATAGAGTGTTGGATGAGAGAGGCTGTCGGTAGTGCGTCAGAAGAACGACAAATATAATGGAATAGAGGATAACGTTACTCTGAGGGCAGCTCGATATGATTTGATGTTATATTCAACAGATGAAAAAAATGGCATTTTAATTATATTAGCACAGCGAGCTGACTTTTCGTTTTCGATTTTTGTTGGTAGATTTGCCATAACTGCCAATGAATATTTGAAACGGGGAGGACAGCGCTACTAAAATCAATGACTCCATTGAAACGGGGAACATTATACAACATGGACTTTGGATTATGTCGACACTGAAATATTGTTTCATTCTCGGAAGTGTGCCAATACATTATGAAGTCTTATGAAGGTTATTGCACTCTTTCCCAATGTGTACCACGCACCAACACACATAAAGAAAAAAGATGTCTTGCATTATTGATACCAAATTAGCCGACTGTGCATACGGAAGAACACCAGGCAGGACGGAGTTCAATTCGTCGTTCTTTACGTGTAATACCTATTCTTGCTTTAAGTCCTTAACCATGTCAACTTAGATATTCTAATTCGCCCAACTTCAAGAAGATAGAACGGAATAGAAACAAGGAACACATACAATTCACTGATGCTGTTTCAGACAAGAATTACTGGAAGACTTTCCGCGTCACGAGGTTACTGATTGATAGTGACAAGGCATTCATTTTTATCTGTTTAACCTTTCCAATAATATCATTTGTAGATTTAGATTGTCAAAAGTCACCGTGACCGCCTCGGTAATCAAATATATTATTCCTCTTGTGCTCGAGATTGTTTAATCTTACTTACATTACGGAAACCAGTTGACAATCAAATAGTCAGACGTCACGACACAGCATTCGGATATATTTCATCACAGAATGGTTCCTCTCCCAGTCTCCATTCCCCGTCTCTGTTTGAGGACACGATCGGGTTTACTTGAACTGTTTTAGCGATATATAGATAAAATGTGGATCCATAGACATGTCTCCACAGGACATGCTTGGTCATGAAGACAGATTAACTGTTCCATTTTGTCTTAACCTCTTGTTTATCAAATCTCGTGGTTGGACGTGGTTTGAGAGAAAGGGTCAACGTCCTGGACTCTTTGGCAGCTTTTCTCGAAAAGTTTTTATCGAAGTATTGTTATACTGCTCCATTTGCTCTGTGATTCCTTGAAAGAAATTTCAAATATTTCTTGTATTATTCTTAATTTCATAACATGTCATGTGTAACATATTTGGTCAATTTTCTATTTTCTATTATTCAACTGGTTACACATCTTTGATATTTTCATGTTTGTCGAATATATTTGATAATCATTGTCTTTGGAACTTCAAATTAAATGTGTAGGTTATATGCGTAGGTTGATTGTCAAGTTATTATTAAATGTATCTTATGTATCTTGCCAGCTTGTTCCTTGAAGAAGCGTAACTTAATGTTTGTGGTTCAGTGCTGAACGCTCACATGTGAACTCTGCATATAATAAGCATATCATTGGCACTTGAACGATAAATGAACTACGGTGATGCGTGAACATGTGTTGCCGTAGTGCATCTAAACATTCATCAGTGTTTATAATGAATGTGAAGTGTTATTGTGGTTCTTGTGCCGATGTGCCATTTCTAAAACATAAAAACATGTTCTAGTTAGATATTATCTATATATAAATTCATATCATTCGCAACAATCATACTAATCACGTATAGGTATGCATATAAAACTAATATGTTTATGATATTTATCTGCAATAATTTAATGTATGATGAGTTGATATGCTTATATCATTAATTGAATTCAAATGATAACTTAATATTGATTGTTAGACTCTGCTTCCGTAATAAGTTTTGGAAAGCACAGGTTGCTCTATAATATCTGTACTGACATCATTCTTACTTCTTCTTAAGTCTGGGGCGATTTTTATCTCAATATGAACCTCTAATATACTATGAAATGATCCTGTATATATCTATTGATCATAATATGTACCTACAAGTATTTAATGTCAGAAATATCGTTCTAAACTCGTTCTTTATTATAATATAAACTTACACCTTTAGAAGAACATTTATGTGTATATTTATAGTAATATAACTCTGCCCGTGTTTGTTTTCCTTATAATATCTGTGTCTATTTTTCAATCCATATATGTCTATACACATATTTTTTTTTATTACACTTTGAACCTATCCAAGTTCATTAATAATGATATGACCCTATAGGTGTTTATGTGTTACGCCACACATGTGTACTTAACTACACATATGTGTACTTAACTATGAATCCTGCAGTATTTATATCAGAATGTGAACAAACGCGCATACTCTTTATGATAACATGAACCCGCACATGGACATATCCATTTGTCATAACATTAACTTAACAGAGGTACATAATAGTGAGAAAAAGACAGTTTAATGGTGTTGCAAACACAAACCTTACCATCACTACGCCATGAAATATGCTTACACATTAATGCAGTTGTAACACAGCGATCAACATCCCCCCCTCCCCCTCCCTTACATACATCACTGTTATTAAAATTAATTTTGATAAATAACGTATACTTGATAATATGGGCTTGGAAAAATGGCTGACATAGCAAAACAGAATTTCTCCCAATTCTTACTAGAGTTTCCATTGATGAATAAGACTTTATGCAACATCAAAATTACAAAGTGCCTTTTCAATATAGACCTTTCCACGGAGCAGTGCTTCGTGCCACTCTCAGTTATCCCCCTTTGTGGTGGCGCTAGTGTCGTCCGCCATTAAGCGGCTGCAAATTGACATTGACGTTTTACGTCTGGCAACTTGCTTGTTTTTTTCGAAAATATGTCTCGGGACAGAGGTAGGCCTTATGAACGTGGATCAGGGAGAATTTGTGCAATGAAAGACTGTACAAATAGCCAGAGAAATCTACGTATGTGGAAGGAATTGCCCTGTACAGTCCATAAACTGCCACGGAAGGACTGCCCTTGTTTATTTCCCTATCATCTCCATAGGTTTCCTGTGAATGAAGATCGTCGTCGTGTTTGGGTGTCACGTGTTAATCGGAAGGATTTTCACCCATCTGATAGCAGTGTGGTATGTATTTATCAAGATAATTAGTGGCACAATAGTTTATCCCATCTGATAACTAGAGATAATGAAACGTTAGATATTTTGTTATTCATGTAGGGCCTACAGTGCTGGACCCCGTTTCACAAAACTCTCGTAAGCTAAAGATCTCGTAGCATTCGTACCTCCTATGTTACAGTATAGGAGGTACGAATGCACTGTAGGGTAAAGCTATGCAACAAAGGGTTGAACGACAATTTTTACTAGTAAAATATTCCAACATTTTAAAACCTTATGTGCTACAAATCATTATTCTAGAGACATTTGTATTGTAGAAACTTACTGATATCTTGCAATATGCCCAAAAATATTGAGAGGAAACAGTCTATTTATCATTATTTACTCAATATATCTTTCCTTAAAATTAGTTAATAACATTACTGGATTAATTTATTATGTAATTTATTATTGCTTAATTACTTTACCCTCCGTGTATCGTTAGTGTACACATAGAACAGGGATGTAAAGAATTTCTTTATTTAACGGCTCTAGTGTTTAACAGGAGTGAAAAAAATTGTTGAAAATGTGATAACCCATTGTAGTTACTGGAGTGACATTGGCTAAATAGAAATGTACTTATTTTATTTTTATAACTCTTTTTCAGATATGCTCAATTCATTTTTTGGATGGCCATCCAAGCAAACAAAATCCTGATCCAGTCTTAAATTTGGGATATCAACGAAAGGTTAGTGTACTTTAAGTTTAATGTAATGTACAATATAGTCCTACTAGTGATGTATTAAACGTAAAGTTATTTTGACAATTATGTTATTAACTATTTATTACTGTTCATTGATGTAAAAGTATAATAGCCTGTTATACTTTAACTTTCCACTCTCCAGGTGACACAAGGAAGAAGGACCATTTTCCGACACCCTCTCTCTGATGTTTCTCGGACCCCAAGGAGCAATCAACTGACTGAGGAGTGCCATGCTGAAGCTGAACTGACAGATCAACCTGTATCTCAAGCTGAAGAGAAGGAAAAGGGGAATGATGACTCCAGACCAAGTGATTGTGACTGTTGTAAACAGAAGTCTTGTTTTTGTCTTCACAGACCTATGATAAAAGTTCCAAACAGAACTGTAGGAGTACAGGTTCATTTTAACAAGTCAGTAGATCACCATTATGCAACCCAGCACTACACGACCAAAACAAAGAATGTCTCTGTTCAGGTTAATTTTCCTGCCTTTTCTGCAGACAGTATTAAGACTAACACTGATTCTGTGTTTTACACTGGACTTACTCTACAGGTGTTTCTGTCAATAATAACTTATCTTACATCTGTACTGCGGTCAAACATTAAGATGCCACTCTCAGATCAAACACTACTCACACTTATGAGACTTAGGCTTGGAATTCAGTTTCATGATCTTGGGAGAAGATTTTCAATTTCCACGCAATTAGCAAGTAAAATTTTTGGAATTTGTATCTCAATTTTAGCCAGAAAGCTAAAGGATTGCATTGTTTGGCTCCCAAGAGATGTTATTAGATCTGCAATGCCAATGTCCTTTAAGACTACCTATCCACACACTACCTGCATTATTGACTGTACAGAAATGTTCTTGCAACGTCCATTTTCATTGAAGGTTAGAGCTCAAACCTACAGTACATATAAAAGTCACAATACTGCCAAAATTCTTGTTGCTATTGCTCCCAATGGATATATTATGTATGTTTCAAGATGCTATGGGGGTCGTGCAAGTGATGTGTATATCACCAAGAACTCGGGTTTTCTAAACTACTTGTTACCTGGTGATGAGGTAATGGCAGATAGAGGCTTTACAATAAGCAATGAACTTTATGCTAGAAGAGTGAAACTGAACATTCCTGCTTTTATGAAGGGTCGTAAACAACTGAGTGCTACAGAGTGTATAGAAACACGAAGAATTGCATCTGTAAGAATACATGTAGAAAGAGCAATTGCCAGGTTGAAGTCTTACAGAATATTGAATCAGGTTCTACCTCTTAATTCCGTTCAAAAGTTGGATAAGATAGTCAAAGTGTGTGCAGTCCTGTGTAACCTCAGACCAGAACTCATCAAGGACAAAGACTGAGTAGTCATGTATGTTTCAGACATCTAGTAGGCTGCTTAAGCTTATGAGATGTATGTGATTTTGCAATGTGATATTTCACCAACAAGAATGATAAATTATAAATACATAGTCTCATTGAATTGATGTTTAAATCATTAAACTGAATGTTCCCCTCACCTTGATTTTTGTTTTCATTGCTGTTTTATGTTTAAATACCAACCTATAGATATTCAATGAAATCAAACTTGTAAATCACCTTAACCCTTAGACTGCCATATGCATGGCACCATATATACAGTGATAGAAACTACCAGTGGCAGATGGCCACCACTTTTGTCTTTGGGCCACTGATATTTTGGAGAAAACAATAGCAGTTAGTGATCACCAAAAGTGTTTTTTTTTTTACAGATACATCACCACTTGGGCCACTAGGAAAATCTCACAAGTTTCTGTAACTGTATATATGGTCCCATGATATGTGTGACAACAATATTCCTGTTTCAGGGGGTTAAAGATTTCATCTTAAGTGTGAGTAATTACATGAGATATAAATACTGATCATGTTCATTAAAAAACAAAAACACATATTCATTTCATACTGGTACATTGTATTTTATTATTCAACCTAAATATGTTAAACATTTATTTTAAGTTACTAGCATGTGAAATAGTATTTGACTTGAACTGTAATTTTCTTCATAAAATATCAGCAATTCATAATACACAACTTTGATTTTATTACTATTCATTTGAGTGTCAGTGAGTGAAGGAAATGTACACATTTACAGGTTATATACAAATTCTTTTTAACATCAACAGTAAGTCAATAACATAGTAGATACATCACATCAATTAGATAGATAGCAATTTATTGACTCAGCTCTAACAAAACAACAAACTTCGCATAGCTGTGTAATTTATGTGTTGATGCTGTTACAGCTTTATTTACACTACACATGCTACGGTGACACACAGAACTGCTTGTATTCCTCACTCAACACGAACCGACCTGCCTTGAAGTCATCAACCAACCGGACCAGCATATGTTTAAAATAAAACGCTCTTAATCTAGACAGTGTATTGTCAACAAAGCTGGAATCATATGCAACATCAAGCAGGACTCTGTCATGTTCTTCTGGTCTCCACATAAGAAAGGTGCACTGATGTTTTCCTGTACAGAACATACACATTTGCACCTGAGTGAAATATCCATTTCTCCCTTTTGAGTAAAGAACTAGTTCACTCTCAATGTTTCGAACATCACCTTTTCCCGAGTCAATCATTGCATGCACAGATGTTGTAGGACATTTTATTTCTAATATTGCAGAATCTTCAATGATTCCATCAGGACTAGCAGACAGAAATGGTTCATGTGATGATATAACAGTTCCTGTACACATTACTTTCTTCCCAGAAATATCCTGATAATGTGTCCTTGCTATGGGTTCATGGGTCACTCCATAAGCAGTGTTGTCATTACCCTTAAATCTCTCATACAGGTGATTGTTCAGGAATTTCTCAGGGTCGCCTCTACTTGTTTTAGGTACACTGTTGGCCTTTGATGCTGGTATTCTTACTCGCCTGCTGTCTTTCCATAGCGGACTTGATGATGCACCCTGGTTTAATGTTAAATTACTTAATTCTTCTCTTTTGTACTCAGGAAGATTAACATACTTGTCATAAAATTCCTGGCAAACAGAACATTCCAATTTTGTGACAGTCTTGCTATAATCAATATCATGAGATCCATGTCTTGATTCATCATTTGACGTTTCCTTGCAGATAGGATTTACATTTTCAGTGGCTGAAAATGTTTTATGGAGAAGTGTACCCTTCAGTTTCCAAAGAGAACAAAGTGGAGAATTATTTACATGCTCAGTAAAGTCTTCTGTGGTAACAAACTGCTTAAATCTGTAGGGCTTGCTTTTCGATGATGTAGACGTTTCTGCAGCTTGACTGGGATCATCAGATCTTTTTGGATGCTTGAAATTCATGGCCTTTAATTCACTGAGTAATTTATTGCTGTCAGTCCCTCGTCCCCATGTACAAGGTAAATCAGTACAAGATTTACCAGCATATCCATGTAACCAGGCTAGATGTACAGCATACATAATGGCTGCAACATGACTACATGACCTTCCATGACCAGCTGGGCAAGTGCAACATGCAGTTAATACAGTACCATCTTTCCTTGCAGCAATCCATGCATTGTAAGGAACTGTAGAGGCTCCTGGCTGAGAGGGTGACACACAGGCTTTAAGATAATGAACTTCATTTTCCACAATGCTTTGAATATCACCTAACCATCCATTCTGCACATAATTATATGCATATGTTGCTCGAAAAGCTTTCATTTCCTTGGAATCAAATGAGTGGGACTTAATGAGGTAGTCAATAATATCTTCATATCCTATCTGAGGCCACTTTCCAGTATTATTGGTAACCCACTTGGCACTGCCTTCAGGTAGTGACTCTGTAACAGAAAGTACAATAATAACCATACCCACTCATCACATTTGACCTAGCCTCATTACAGATTGAGATAACTATCTGACCTAATTATATTTAACCAGCTGTTACTTCTAGTTACAAGAGAACGTCTTAATTTGTGTGAGATAAATAAGAAATATACTAGTACTTTTTAATAACACAAATATGTAGATAAAAAAGTAGAAGGTATTTTTCACAAATTATTTGGTCAAGGTATAGTCAAAACGTAGTCATTTGTGAGCATTTAGTAAGAGATTACCGTGTGTAAATCTAGAAATTTATATAGCTAAATAATAAATTTTGACGATGGTTCTTGACCTATCAAATCAAAATATAAACAAGACAACATTAGGGGAATATGTTTGGAAATATTTAAATGCCCTATACATATTTGAAAATACAGGCAAGTTCAAATTCAGAACACAGGCCTTATAAGATACAGGCGGCCTATAGTTTACATGCAGTTTCACGTTAAATTCAACTTCGTTTAAAGGCCTTCAGTTTTCGTGCACAATACAATAGCCGAGTTACAACAAAATGCACATGATATTGACATTACTTGGTCATTTCTTTAAACTTTAGTACGTTAAATATATCTTACCTGCAATGTTTGTTTTAGACATGACATCAGAAATCCCTAAAACGAGATGTAATGTTGGACCTGTAAGTAGACGTTGTTTTTCGCGGCGTAAGCGTTGACTGGGCACCGTCTAGACTTGTTTGCAACGTCATAGATTGCCGCGGCGTTACAAATAGCACAGACCAGTTCATCGTTGCAGCCGCTTAATGGCTGCCACAAAATGGCGGCGCCCATGAAATAAGCCATGGAAAGGTCTATATGTCGCCATGGAGGATGCAAAGGACACATGACGTTGACTGCATGGACATGTGCCTATTCTTACCATACTCAGCAGCCTATGAGCTGCCAGTTGTGTGCATCCCGGAGTAAATATCAACACATATCACCCCATGCTTTGAACATAACTCAAACCACTTCTTATTAATGGCTTAAAGCCAAGAAATCTCACGAACAGGACATATTAGATTCCTCCTTACAATAACCACTGGTTGTTTGTTCTGTTTGTACATAAACAAGTCACATTCAGGGAACACGACCCGTGGGATTAATCTAATAGTAGAACACTCGTATTCCACATCATCAGTATGCAGTAGAATTTCAACCAATCTGAACAAGGCGTGAATGGTACTACTGAAACAGGAGGCGTTTATCCAGTGTTAAATACCCTTACCGTGCCCTCAAAACAAACATTCCACACCGAAAGCTTTCTCATGTTGTTTAATTAACAATTAACGTATATCAGAACATTCACTTTAGTGTCATGTGAAGCAGTGATATATCTAAACACAGCTAGGTTTGCTTACTTTAGATTAAATCGTAAAAGTATTATCGAATTACATATTTTATCATGTTAGAACAATGGATTCTGTAATACCTCTCAAAAGCTATGTAAATATAAGATACTGGCATCATGATAATCATGTAATTTGTCCTTCCTACATCACAAGGCCCAGCATCCAGTGAGCAACTCTGCAATTTAACCATGCTGGGTTGGATGCGAAAGATGTTACTTTCGTGTGCCTGCGTGCATGCATGTGCACAAATATAGTATGTTGAGCTTAATTTTGTATCAAACATATTCGTATAAATTTTGTAGCTACGGTTTCAATGACTAAATGTAGTAAAATGTGAGTTTCAAACATTTGCTACACTATATCTGTATACCTAAATCAATAAAATGCCATGAAATGCTTCACGACCTCTGTTTCATGACCACAGGAAACATCTTTGTATGGACCCTCTGTTAAACATGATAAAAATGTCGGTAAGAATAAAAAACATTCAAAACAGAATTTTCAAACAAAATGCTTAATAACTTCCAATGAAAGTAGCTTCCAATAACAGTTACTTGTAATAACATTCAACATCTTGCTCATATGCACTGAACACGTCTTATCACGGCTATGACAGTGAGTCTAATATTTTTATCAACTCTGATAAACTCAATTATATGGCCTATGCTTGCAAGGGCATGATTGTGAGTTTGCTTGTTAACCATAGGTTCCGGCTATATGTTTGATGGATCTATTTGGACGAATTTGGCATTTAAGCATCAAGTATGCCAGAATCCCTTGCCAATATATTTTGAAGTCCAAATCAGCGTTGGCACTAATTTACCAATACCCCAAGACTCGTTCAAGTCCCGTTCCCCAGGGATGTGGAATTAGAGGTTGTGACATTCCGAACTTCATACGCTCTCTCCCAGCCTACGGTAATCATAATAGACTTTGACATAGACCGATTAGCCAGATAGTGTATTAGATTTACTCCCAGAAACAGACAATAGTTATTTGATTTCCTGTGTAACTGACTGATTGACGAACAAGTTTGTTTATTTTACCCGATAACTTGGTAACACGATTCTAATCTCGCACCAGAAACCACCTGAACTGGACTAAGTGCGAAGAGTGTGTTGAATATTATAATTTAAAGTTTTTATAATTGTCTTTATGATAGGGTTATTTTCGGATATTATCCATCTGAACACATCAGTCGTTTTTAATATTGAAGCATAGATATGGAGGATAAATGTGTCTATTCTAATTCAGTAAACAATGTTGCGCATGCAGTTTGTTAAAGGGTTGCAGTTAACGTTCAAGTGAGTGAGTAAGTTTGGTTTTACGACGCTTTTGGCACTATTCCAGCAATATTAAGGAGGGGGACACCAGAAATGGGCTTCACACATTGTGATCATGCATGGAATCGAACCCATGCGGGAAATTGAAACCATTTCTTTAACCACTAAGCTAACCCACCGGCCCTTGAGAGGAAGAGAGTACCTGGTATTGTACATCATAGCCAGCGATATGATATTGTATTAAGACTACCCTACCGTCCCAAAGTTCAAGACTTCAAAGATAAATCAGTAAGTGGGAGTAAGTACCATGATGCTACAACAGGCGTACTACGACGAAGGCTACTGCTACGACAATACTACAACAACATGTTTTGATGTTGTCTGTTAGGTTACTTTGACTATTGTTTTGAAACCACTCCTCGTACTTCAACTGGTACTTCTTCTCTATGGTTAGGTACTGAGCTGCTGTTATTGCTACAGCAACTGCAACAACAACAACAACAACAACAACAACAACAACAACTGATACTTACTACCACGACTACTACAACCGCAGCGTCTTGTTGTACTACTAGTAGCAGACTATCTACAAAGGACAGTGTGCTAGCCTAGTGATTAAGTGTACATTAATCTCATTTGTTAGAGAACATTGCGTGAAACCAATTAAAAAACCCATACTCATCCACCTACAACAACGACGATACTACTCCTACTACTACCACTACTACTACCACCACTACTACTACTACTACCACTACTACTACTACTACTACTACTACTACTACTACTACTACTACTACTACTATTACTTACTACTACTACTACTACTCCTAGTACTACTACTACTACTACCACAACTGCTTCCAGCATCCACCAGTACCACCAAGTATATTACTACTACCACCACTACTACTACTACTACCACTACTACTACTACTACTACCACTACTACTACTACTACTACTACTACTACTACTACTACTACTACTACTACTACTACCACAACTGCTTCCAGGATCCATCAGTGCCACCAAGTATATTACTACTACCACTAACTGCACTACTACTACTACCACCACACTACTACTACTACTACCACCACTACTACTACAACACTACTACTACTACTACAACAACGGTACTACTACTACTACTACCACTACTACTACTACTACTATTACTACTACTACGACTACTACTACTACTACTACTACTACTACTACTACTACTACTACTACTACTGCTTCCAGCATCCATCAGTACCACCAAGTATATTACTACTACCACTACTACTGTCACTAATAACCCAGAATTTAACTGCAGCCTATTCAGTTACATACAACCACAAACTATCACTCCCGGAAGTATATTTATTCCATCCACCAACTGAAGCAAGTTCCAATCAGCAGAGCCAATCGAGGTTCTATATAGACACATGATATCCTAAAAGCTACTTCCGGTACACATGAAGCACCATCCAAACAATAACCACGGATACCAGTGTCGACACAAAGTCCGAGTAGATCACCAGTGTTATGGCTTCATATCCGACAGTTATGCTGTACGACAAGGCTCTGAACTCACTAAGGAGGATGTGCCCAGCGGAGCAGGGATACGCTAATGGTGGTTCCATATTGTTGGATGATGATAAACCTGGCTGCGCCCATCAGTGGGTGCAGATGGGTCAGTGATGTGTTTAATGGTCCACGTTCTAATATAAAAGCTCCATTTCGTATTAATGTTTACGTATCATATGGCTACTGAATGGGACAAGGTTGCCGGAAATAGATCAAAGTAACTCGTCATATATGTGTTCCTACTTCCAGAAATTTGAGCCCTTCGTATTTTTTATGGGTGTAATAGAATCTTACTTGAAGGATTATTTAGGATGTATGCATTTCCGTCACATTCTCACATCAAAATAGTAAAACGTTAATGGAGATGGTTAGCCGTTAATTCACAAACAACAAGGAATGAATGCCTGTGCACATTCAATACATTGGTATAATTAAAGTTGTCAACTAATGCCATCATTTAACTATCGCATCGTAATGGTTTTCAATATCAATTGTATTCTCACATCAAAATAGTAAAACTTTAATGGAGATAGTATCCATGCCGGTTGGTTACTACAAATTTTCAAAACATTAAAGCTATGTCACAAACAGTGGTAATATAGCATCATTCTCGGAGGACTGTTCGTCAGCTTTTCTAGATGTTGAGGACACTCCTAACTGTATACATCCGGAAATTGATTTGTTGCTGAAATAAGATTCAGTGAGCCAACTGACAAGTACGAGCACTAGGTTTCTGTCATCCATAAATTATTGGACTAATTGTGATGTTATTTGTCAGTCGTATTGACTTCTTCGCCTGCCTAGCAGTGGACACCACAAGTGATCTGTCTGGAGTGGACTCGTATAACGCTAGGCACGACAAAGAGAAATGTGTTACTGAAGTGCAGACATCTGATAATTCAGTCAGACATGTTTAGTGTTATTAGTCTTACAAATAACCCAAACTATTCAGTAACGTACCGTCAATCCACCGTGAGACTCGGCTGTCCTTGGTAACAGTTGCTTATGGTGGTCACAACGATCCATCTAATTATAGCTGCAATGGGTGGGTGTGAACGTGTACCGTTCATAATTTACTTCCGCAATTCCAGACGACACAATTTCGGTTGACAGGTGATCATGATATAGCAGTTATCGTCTTGCTACAGACCCCACAGTTTGTATCACCTATTTCAGCACGGCACCCTTGGGAGCTGCATAAATCACCTTACACGTATATCCCACTCTTCCATCAGGTTCCAGGATCAATTTTGGTCCTCCACCTGTAGCTTAAACTCTTAAATATTCAAATGTTCTAGGGTACTAAATTAATGAATTAGATAGAAATCAGTGTCGACCAGGGAATAATATTCTCCTGTTTGGAGTATGTGCGTTAAATTATTCATGTATGTGTGGTGGGGGTGGGAACCTGCAGTTGAGGTTGCAGTTGTAGTGGTGAGAGTGGTGACATGGTTCTGGAGATTCAAACTATATGTCAAGCCTCACTGATGTATATACCACAATGCAATGTAACGAGTTCAAATCTCGTTCTCCTCAATCGCCGTTGGTTGCGAAGAGTAGGTGGATGGGTAACCAGGAGCAACTTTGAATTCC